TCTCTGAGCATGGGGAGCAGAAGTCTTTCTGGATTTGCATGTGTCTGAGGAAGGAAGACGAAAGCCAAGGCCAGGTGCACGAGACAAGGGGTTTGAGTTTGTAGTTACCTTGGGGAGCTTTCCATCTTGCAGTAAAATGTTCAGAGAAATTACTGGCAGCATGCCTCTATTCATTGGATAGTTTGTTTTAAAGGGATATTGCTTCACCTCAGATCTTTAGTGAAATTTTATGTGTAATTATTATGTATTTATTCCACATGGGAACAGAACACCTGTTTCATGTTGCATGTTAGACTAATGTCTTTTTTATTAATGCAGCTGTGATACAAAGTCTCCTTTACCGTTTAAAAATGTTACGACTTTTAAGTTATGATTTTGGTTGTGGAATAAATACATGAATGAAAAAACACAAGGTAGCCTGAAAATATCTGACACAAAAACTGACAGAATTATAGGGAGAAATCGCTCAAAACAAGGATTTAACACATATCTCAGAAACTATGAGCTCAATCAGGAAAAAGGAAAAATAGAATAGGGAGATGGAAGATTTGAATCACTCAATTAACAAGTTTGATTAAATGGAAATTACGTAGAATCCTACAAACAACAATTAAAGATAAATACCTTTTTAGAGTTTTAGACTTTTGAGTGATGTCATTCCATTACCTATTCAAAAAATTAAACAAATGGCATGTATAGTGAGATTCTTTTAAATATATATATTTACATATATATAAGAAAGGGGTTGTGTGTGTGTGTGTGTGTATGTGTGTGTGTTAATAGATACAATCTGAAACAAAGGTTAGAAACTCAAATGCCTTTAGGGGTGAGGCAGGCCAGGTGGGGGCCATGGGTGACTGGGGGCAGGTACCCCATATCATAGGGCAGCCCCCACTCAGTGCCACCTGGTCCCACCATAGTGTTGTTAGAACTTGTGATTATTTTTCAAAAGAAGGTCCAACCCCAGATTTGAGTCAAAAATCTTCTGATTTCTATATTTTACTTCAAAGTTTTGGAAACCATTAGACAGTTTAGATGAAGCGCATGCATGGCCACTATGGCAGATAGTGGCTGGCCTGGCAGTGGGGTTGTGGCATATTTTACTACGCTGAGCTCTTAACAGAGAGAGACACTCAACTCACTCAAAACCCCATGATTGGTTCCTCACTAAATTAGACCTAGAATTACATATCGCCCAGCAATTCCACTGCTGGGTATATACCAACAGAATTGAAACAGTTGTTCAAGACAAATACTTGCACAAAAATGTTCTATTTACCCAACAGCCAAAAAACGGGAGCAACCCAAGTGTCCACCAGTGGACAATGGATAAACAAATATGGTCCATCCACACAATGAAATATTGTTCAGTCGCAAAAAGGAATGAAGCACTGATTCATGCTACACCATGAATGAAACTTGAAAACACGTTGCCAGACACAAAAGCCCACAGAGTGAATAATTCCGTGTATGTGAGGTGTTCAGAACAAGCGTATCTATAACGACAGAAAGCAGGTCAGTGACTGCCATGGGCCAGGGGCAGGGAGATGGGCAATAACTGCCTAATGGGCATAGTTTCCCTTTGGCGCGATGGAAACCCTTCAGGACTAGACAGAGGTGATGGCTGCACAAGTTGTAAATGGACTAAATACACGGAATTGTTCATTTAAAAGTCTTATGTTATGTGTAATTTACCATAAAAAGAAAAAGGCCCATGGAGGAAGACTATTATTAACCCATTTGACAAATGGGGAAACTGAGGCTCAGAACAGAGACCAAAAGATCTACCCAGCCTGCGGGCAGGGAGCTAGGGGGTGAGCCTTGCCTATCCAGCCAGAACCAGTGCTGACTGCTGCCGCCCGGCTTACCTCAGACAGGTCGTCCTGCTCGGGCGTGTTGGAGCCGCCACTGTCCTGTTCCTCCAGATGCACCACGTCTAGGAAGGGACCGAGAGTGAGTGGAGGCCAGGGTCCCGGTGGATTCCCTCCGGCCCCTGTGCCCCCAGCTGTCACCTGGAAAAGGGTCCCGGGTGAGGCCCAGCTGGCGGATGATGTAACGAGGGATGTCTGTCTTGACCAGGTGCCCCTCCTTGGCGTGGCCCTCCGCTGCTTCTAGCAAGTGGTAGAACTCCTCGGGGTTGAATTCCTGAGGCAGGGCAGGGGCGGGCTCGCGGTGGGCTCGGAGGGGCCCCCGCCAGCCCCCTCCCCTCTCCCAGCCCCCTCACCAGGCATTCCAGCAGCCTCGCAGGGCGAGAGATGATAATGAGCAGTCTCTTCACCAACTGGGTGACGAAGGCCACCTCCAAGCTCTCAGAACGTTCATAAGCCTGGGAAGGGGAGCGCAAAATGTGGTCGGCCTGGGGCGGGATTATGGCGAATTTTACACAAGCCCTGCCTCCGCCAGGCCCCTCGCCCAATCCTACTGGCTACACACTGCTCCTGTTGTCCCATTTTATAGGTGAGAACACTGAGGCGCAGGCCTCACAGTAAAAATAACAATCACTGTTGTTATAGCAGACACTGCCCCAAAACCTTCACTCCTTCAATTCATGTTCAAAACAGCCCTGTAACGTGAGGTGAGTCAGAATCCCTCTGAGTGACAGGCTCTCCCCTCAGACCCCTGAGCGGCTCTCTACCTCTTCAGGTTGCCACTCGGTTGTCACCTCCATGCAACTGAGTGGCACTGGGAACACAGAGAAAGATTCCTGCCTTCCTGGGGTTCAGATCCTAGGATGGGAGATGGACAGGAACACGAAAACAAACCAACCAAGGAAGTCAATGATTTCAGCTGATGCTTAAGGCTATGAAGCAAGTGGAACAGGGCAACCGGTTGGAGTTCATCTCCCCACCCCAACCTAAAATTGCACCCCACTCCCTGGCAGCACTTCAATCACCATTACCCTATTCCTTGTTCTATCACACGAATACCCTTCAGACAGCTCACATATGAACTTTCCTATCATGCCCATCAGGGTGAGGGGAAGAGGCACGCACCTTGGCACCAAAAACCTTACTCTTTGAGATCCCTAACACTTTAATGCGATATTTGAAAAATCAAAATGAATGCATAAAATGCGTGACAAGCAAAAGAACAAAATTTAAATAAGGACAGGATGCAACAAGTGCCGTGCATGGGCATGTTGGAGCTTGAAGCAAAAGGGAAGGTACGTGACAATCTATGCCTGCTTTCAAAATCTTTAATGGCTTTTATACAAATGTTATTATTGATAAGTTTGTTTCCACTAAAACCAGGAAAGTAAAAGTATAACAAATTCTGATATAATTATAAATAAAATATTTAACCTAAAATAATGTGAAGGGGTGCAGAGGTGCAGGAGATAGCTGATCAGTGATTCTCTCTCATCATTGATGTTTCTCTCTTTTTTTAAAATATTTTATTGATTTTTTACAGAGAGGAAGGGAGAGGGATAGAGAGTTAGAAATATCTATGAGAGAGAAACATCGATCAGCTGTCTCGTGCACTCACTGATCGGCTGCCTCCTGCATGCCCCCGACTGGGGATCGAACCCACAACCAGGGCCTGTGCCCTTGACTGGAATCGAACCTGGGTCCCTTCAGTCTGCAGGCCAACGGTCTATCCACTGAGCCAAACCAGCTAGGGTAAATCATCATTGATGTTTCTATCTCTCTCTCTCCCTCTCCCTTCCTCTCTGAAATCAATAAAAATAGATTAAAAATAAATAAGTAAATAAATACCTACTAGATTGTTTTTTAAAAAAATAATGTGAAGTTTGAATATACCTACTTTACAACTTCTTCAGTAATTACTTCAATGTTCTGGGGGTTGGGGGATCAGTCACGTGCAGCATCCTAGTCCCAGCCCTGATGCCCATTGCTTGTCTTCTGTTTCTTCCGGCTAGAATATCAGCTCCCCTAGGGCAGGGACTCCTCAGCTTCTACGTCAGTGCTGGCCTCAGACTAGATTCTTAATAAATATTTGTAGCATTAAAGAATGAGTGAGGCCCTAGCCGGTTTGGCTCAGTGAATAGAACGTCGGCCTGCAGACTGAAGGGTCCCAGGTTCGATTCTGGCTAAGGGAACATGCCCAGGTTGTGGGTTCGATCCCCAGGAGGGGGTCATGTAAGAGGCAGCCAATCAATGAGTCTCTCTCATCATTGATGTTTCTATCTCTCTCTCCCTCTTCCTTCCTCTCTGAAATCAATAAAAATAGATTAAAAAATAAAAAAGAATGAGTGAATCCCCTTTTTATAGCAAAAGGCACAGAGAGGTTAAGTGACTTCGCAAAGGCTGCACAGTACATAAGCAATGACCTGAGTGGGAATATATACTGTTTGAAGTCTGTGCTCTTGACTCCTATGGACCTAGTGGCAAAATCCAAACTCAAATCAGATTTGATGCCAAAGTATGTAATCATACCAATATGCTGTCCTTCAGGGCAGAGGGCCAGGAGCCCAGAGCACTATATTCTGGTGCTTATACCCTTATCCAACCTCATCTTCTCAAAATAGTACAGTTACTTGGCCTCTGCGCTCCTGGAATTTTCCAGACTGCTTCCTCGTCTCAGGGCCTTTGTATGTGCTGCTTACCCTGCTCAACACACATTCCTCCCAGCTTCTTTTTATAGCTGCCACTTCCTCATTATTCTTCCAATTTCAAAGCCACCTCCTCCAGGGAGGCCTCCTGGACCTTACAAGGAAAGCCCTAACACTCCATCTGGTTGCCCTATATTTGCTCCATAGCCTTAAACATCAGCTGAAATCATTGACTCCCTTGATTTGTCTGTTTTCATATTCCTGCCCATCTCCCATACTAGGATAGCAACCCCAGCAAAGCAGGAACCTTTCTCTGGTTCATTCACTGTTGTGTTCCCAGTGCCCTAGCACAGTGTCCAGCACATAGTAGGTGTTCAAAAAATGCTATGCATTATCATTGAATAGGAACATTACCTTGTTTACTTTCATTTATTCATCCATTTATTTATTTATTTCATCCATTTATTTAATCAACATTTATTGACCGCCTACTATGTGCAGGACAGTCAGGATACAACAGTGAACAAACAGGCAATCTCATCACCCACCTGTGGGACTGACATTGAAGTAGGTGAGACAAGAAATAAGATAAGAAAAAACAGACATTATGATGGATGGTGCTAAGTGCTAAGGTAAAATCTTAAAGAGACAGTGGGTGGTGAGTGTGAGCAGAGTTTGACATTTTATTTAATTTTACTATTTTATTATTTTTTTACTGGTTTCGGAGAGGAGGGTAGAGGGAGAGAGAGATAGAAGCATCAATGATAAGAATCATTGATCGGCTGCCTCCTGCTGCTTAACCAGAATTGAACCCAGGACCTTTTGGTCTGCAGGTCGATGCTCTATCCACTAAGCCAAACCGGCTAGGGCCAGAGTTTGACATTTTATTTTTTTTAAAAATATTTTATTGATTTTTTTTACAGAGAGGAAGGGAGAGGGATAGTTAGAAACATCAATGAGAGAAATTGATCAGCTGCCTCCTGCACACCCCCTACTGGGTATATGCCTGCAACCAAGGTACATGCCCTTGACCGGATTCAAACCTGGGACCCTTGAGTCCACAGGCCGACGCTCCATCCACTGAGTCAAACCGGTTAGGGCCAGAGTTTGACATTAAATAGATGGGTCTGAAAAGCCAACCTGAGCCCAGCCAGCTTGGCTCAGTGGTGAGCGTTGACCTATGAACCAGGAGGTCCTGGTTTGATTCCTGGCACATGCCTGGGTTGCTGGCTCCATCCCCAGTGTGGGGTGTGTCAGAGGCAGCTGATCAATGATTCTCTCTCATCATTGATGGTTCCATCCCTCTCTCCCTCTCCCTTCCTCTCTGAAATCAATAAAAATATATTTTAAAAAAATAAAAATAAAAAGCGGACATGCGAAGGTGACAGTAAAGACCTGAAGGAGTTAAATACCTACTTCCCTCATCGGAACCATGTCCTTCTTTTCCACCCCTGAATCCTCAGCTCCCCACCAGCGCCTAGAACCAGTGTTAGGAGCCCCGCGAGTGGGTGTGGGGCGAAGGATGGCATTGGCCTGATTTGGGGGTGCAGAGTCTGGGATGGGGCTGGCCTCCCCGTGCACTCACATCCTGCAGCAGCTTCTCTAGGTTCTCCTGCAATTCGTAGAAGTAGACGGTGGTGATGAGGCCATCGCGGGACTTGGTCAGGCAGTCCCGGGCCAGCTCGATGATCTGGTGGTGGATGAAGCTGAGCACGCCATCGGCCAGCGGCAGCACGCTGTCAGGCTCATAGGCGCGCGTGAAGTCCCGCAGCTTCTCCTCCATCTGCGCGGTGGCCTGCGGAGGAGGGAGGCCGGGCGGTGTGAGCTTAGCCCCAGGGCTGTGGCCGCAGGAGCCTGCGCGGAGCG